ACATGGAGGTAATAGAGCCATTTTTTGACTTTTTTTTTCCTGTGCAAAGAATTAGTAAACATAAATAGCCCTTTTCATTAAATTGATCGGATGTTTTAGATGAACTAACAGAACTCATTAGCTGTTTTGCACTGTATAGAAATGTTCAGTGCTAGGAATTGGAGAAGAAACAGTATATGTGAAGAGTTAGGTTGCCAACCTTTCGGCAGGGCTAGGCTGCATTGTGATTCATGGGTGTGCCATGGAGGGATACTTAAGTTATACCATATTCCTAACCAGGAATTAGGCAAAAAAAAAATCATTTTTTCTAATTATCTTTCACTATAACCCCCCATCTAATCTGTTACCAAGGCCTGCTGAGTTCACCTTTATAATATCTCTGGAATACTTCCCCTTCTCTCCTCTGACACTATGACCATACTGGTGCAGACACTTATCACCTTACATCTGTATTATTGAAATAGCCTTCTGTTGGTTATGCCAACCTCACGTCTCTCCCCACTATAATCCATCCTCCATTCAGCCACCAAAGTGATTTTGCTAAAGCGCTCATCCAAAATTGTGACTGCTCAGCTTCCAAGTATATAATAAGCCTTCTATGGAGGATTCATAAGAAGAGATGGAGAAAAGTTGCATGGAATGAAAAGGCATGAATAGTTTGTGAAATGCATAATGAAAGATGCTACCTACAGCATTTGATATCACAGTTAAGTCTGGATTAGTGTGAACAAGGAATGCTCTGAGAAGTGGTCACATATGTGAATCCACACTGATATAAATTATATTTATGTAATATATGATCATTGGTTCCAGCCAAATGGAAATGTGCATTGTGGATGTGAATAATGTGACTACTCTAGAGTATTCATCATTCACTCTAATCTAGACCTTGCTGTATAGCACCATAAAACCATCAAAATATCTTTGAAGAGACTATTTGATAAACAGCTAAAATTTAAAAAATAAATAATTGCTCATATTTACATGTCTTTATAGTTACAAAATACTTTCCTCAAATGTTTATCATGAAAATATTAGCAGCATCCTCATTTTACAAATGAAATTGATAGGCTGCCTTCAGTCACTTGGCTTAGTATGTAGTCACGTCAATATTCAAAAATAGATTTTAGTTCTAGTTCAATACACACTCCATTTTCTGATACCATAATCCAGGAGCTCCCTTCTTCCATAAATTTCTTCAACAAATATTTATTAAGCACCTTCTATGCAAGGCAAAATACTGGACATTACAGAACATACAGAGATATATGAGGTATCTTCAGATTTTTATAATCTAGTTGGGGAGGTAAGACAAATACACATATCACTGTTTTACAAAGAACATTATAAATCACATGGGAGTACTAAAGAAAATAAGTGCCATAGGAATTCATAAGTCAGCACGATCACTCAGACTATAAAAGAGAGAGGGCCTTTGATGTCAACCTTTAAGAATAATTGTAATTTCAATAGGAGGTAGGAAAGGGAATTCCAAATGAAGGGAACAGAATGAGAAAAAAAAATATTAAGTAAACATCCAATTTCCTTGACTATTAGAGTTAGATAATACCATTGAGGGACAGCTAGGTGGCACAATGGATACAGCACTGGGCTAGGAATCAGGAAGATTGATCTTCATGAGTTCAAATTCAGCCTCATACATTTACTAGCTATGTAACCTGGGCAAGTCACTTAACTCTATTTGCCTCAGTCCTTCATCTGTAAAATGAGCTGGAGAAAGAAATGGTAAACCATTCTGATATCATTGCCAAGAAAACCCCAAATGGGGTTCCCAAAAGTCAGACATGACTAAACAACAACAACAACTATCATTGAACTAATATTTGATAACAATGTTATCACCAAATAATTCTAGAATTGTGCATGAATAACAATTGTGCAACAATAACAATGATTAATGCACTATGGATCTAAAATGGATTAGAGTGTATTTTAAAATTATTGAGGAGTATTCAAAAGCTTCTCCAATGGATAAATAGTCAAAGAATATGAACAAATAATTCTCAAAAGAATTAAAATTTAGTAAAAACTAAATAAAAGATTGTTTCATATCACCAACAATAAGGGTAATGTAAATCAAGACAACTCTGGGTTTTTACCTTATACCCAGCAAATTGGTAAAGATGGACAAATATGAAAATAATGAATGTTGGAAGGGAAAGACAGGAACATTAATACACTATTGGCAGAGCTATGAATTAATGCTACCATTCTGGAAAGCAATTTTGAACTATGCTAAAGAAAAATAACAAAATATCCTTTAAATCCAGAATTTCATTTTTAGGCATACATACCAGAGAAAACAAAGTCAGAAAGTCCCAATACATATAAAAATATTCATAGCAACACTGTTCATGGTAGTGAAAAAATAGAAAATAGGTGCCCTGTGATTAAAGAATAAGTAAACAAATTGCCATACAAGAATATAATGAAATATAATTGTGCTTACCTAAACAGCAAATATGAAGAATTTAGAGGAACAGGGAAAGGCAGACAAACTTGTGGAGAGTAAATTAAGTGAAACCATGAAAATGATATACATTATGACTGCAACAATATAAATGGAAGGGCCAATTAATTTTTTTTGAATACTGTAGTATCATAATTATAATTATCAAGCTTGGAACCAAAAAAAGTGTTCCCTTCTTTGATGAGGTGGAGGACTAGGGCATCATCTATTGTGTATATATATTCTGATGAAACTGATATATTGGTTGCTTTTGCTGACTTTTTTTTTCTTTTGAATTCTTTGTTACAACCGAAGATTCACTATGCTGGAAAAAAAAAAGGACAGATTCAGAACTGAATAAGTACTTTATAAAAAAGATATGAAGGATTCAACCATTTAAAACTTTTAGATGAATGATCATTAAAGGAATACAAATCATCTATTATTAGATCAGTTTTAAGTTCCCTCTGTGGTTTGTAAGGACAATTATAAAAATTCAAAGCTTAATAATATATTAAAGTCAGTCATCCTTGACTAGCCAAATTCAATTCAAAAGACAATTCTGTTCAGTGAGAATAAACCAATGTATATAATAGATATGGGCGACATATATGACTGGCTCACTTTGCTAACAAATAAATACCAGATTTTCAGTACTTGAAAACAAAGCTGGTTTGGGAAGAGAAAAAAAATGGGAATTATTGACCTGACAATTAATTTTCATTTATTATAAAGCACGTGCCAACATTAGTCTACATCTTCTTCTCATTTTTTCCTCACGTAATTTAAGCAAAGACATTTATTCATTTTAACTGAAAAAAAATTTCCTTAATATCTTTTGTCCTTTGGGAAAAATTCAAATCAAGAAAATAAAGCTTGCATTGCTTAGCACCTACTTAATGTAAGGTATTGTGCTAGGCAATGGAAAACAAAAATGAAAAATGACACACTTCCTACTCTCAAGGAACTCACAGTCTAAAGCAATAGAGAAATGTGACATATACACAAAATGCTATAAGTAAAATAAAAATGCTGTGTATAGATGTCATTCTATCAAAAGAGATTTAAGAAGGGAAAAATCACTCCTAGCTTAGGGGAAAACAGGGAAAGGATCCAATATTCTTTGGCTAGTATTCTCATTAGCAAGAACAAATTAGAAATCTGAGATAAAGGCCAAAATATCTATACAAAATCACTGATATGTCTAGCAAGACACTCAGTGTGACTATTTCACCCTTTTTCACAAGTAATATTACAGTGAACACTTTTTTTCAGCTGTCATTAACTTTTGGAAAAGAGGAATAATGGCCACATCCTAGTCCATTGTCTAATCATTTTGCATTCATGTATATCATCAAGAGCCTTTGCTAACAAATATTAAATGATGCATTTCCAAATGTTATCACATTTAAAGCTTAAATGTGTTGTTTTTCCTACATATGGGATAGAAACAGCAAAAGAAAAATAACATTCTCTACTGGTCTTGGAAAATATACACAGATATACATACACACACTAAAAAACAATCTGTTGGGTTGAAAAGTATGCCAATCTTGTCATCTTAGTGACTGAAATAATGGGAAGTGGTTATTGCCCATTTGCACAGCTGAAAAAGAATAAAAATTAATTAAAATGTAGTTACATATGTGCCTATAGTTAGAGTAGGAAATCAGAATTGAGTGGCAACTGTACTACTTAACCAGCACCCAATGCTGATGTTTAAGATTCTCCTTCATTTTGTAAAAGTATATAAAACAAAGCTGTTAGATTTCTAAAAATAGAGAAATGTGTTTCCAAAAGTAGAAGAAATTGACTATACTAAGTCTAAATATTTTGTTATTTTAGCAATATATTTTGTCACTTAATCAAAAATAAACAAATTTTAGGTTTGAAAATCTGGCTTAAAATAAAGACCTAGAGTGGTGGAGCCAAGATGGTGGAGTAAAATGTGCTTGAGCTCTCCCCCAAACCCTTCCAAATGCTTGGGGTAGATATTCCCTTAACTGGTCTGATGCTTGTTACTACTCTCAACCTGATTTATCCCATCTGCTAGGATGGTTTTACCAGGAGATTAGTTGAAGAAGAGTAGAAATATTATGGTAGTGTGTTATAGCCCACAGGATAAGGAGGAAGAAATGTATTATGAATTTGGGAAACATTACAAATCTTTTGTAGTACTGATGGAGAATTTCAGTTATTAAGAAATAGACTAGCACTACTGTCTCTGCCCAAAGCAACATATATGGAACACATCTTTAATTGTCTTAGTGATAATTATATTCTTTAAAATGAAATGATTTAAAAGGATGCCATTGTGTGCCAGATTCTGATCAATAAGGGAAGAAATAGTTTAAAGAAGTAGGATTGAAAGAACTTTTCATTCTATCTTACAGATGAGAAGAAAGAAAGAGAAGTAAAAAATGTAAAAAAGAATGTAAAGAGATGAGTAATAAAGAAAGAGAAATAAACCAACGTAGTCTGACACATACACTAAATCTTGAGATGCTAGCCCTTCCTGAATACTACTTACTCTGGTGTGAGGGTTTGCCAAGCCCTTTTCAGGACTGTCCATCCACCTTTGGCGTCCACGTGTCACCCAACTCTCATCTTTGGCTTGAAGAAGCTGAAGTATATGAGAATCATATTTTAAAATGTTGTAAACCACCATTGATTAGAGAAACACAAATTAAAACAACTCTGAGGTGCCACCTCACATCTATCTGGTTTGCTAATATGACAGAAAAGGAAAATGATAAATGTTGGTGGGGATGGCAAAAATTGGGAAACCAATGCACTTTTTTTAAAGAAAAAAGACCCATTTGTACAAAAATATTTATAGCAGGTCTTTCAGTGATGACAAAGAATTTGAAATTGAGGAAAATGCTCATCAATAGATGAATGATTGCACAAATTGTGGTGTAGGATTATAATGGATTGGTATTGTGCTATAAGAAATGATAAGGAGAGATGCAGCCAAGAGGGTGGAGTAAAAGCAGTGACTTTCTTGAGCTCTACCTCAAACCACTCCAAATACCTGTAAAAATGGCTCTGAACAAATTCTAGAGCAGCAGAACGCAAAAAAGAAAGAGTGAAACAAATTTCCAGTCCAAGACAACCTAAATGGTTGATTGGAAAGGTCTATTGCACTGAGCTGGGAGAGGAGCACAGTTCAGTGTGGACCATGCAGGCAAAGACAGGGCCTCAGCAAACCTGGAGCAGGCCTCAGGGTATTGAATCAAGAGGAGCTGTGGTGGTTCCCAGACTTCTCAACCCACAAATACCGAAGACAACTTGGAAGGTCAGTAGGAAAAGTCTGTTGGACAATAGTGAAAGAGGAGTTTGGTTCAGCCCCATACCCAGTACAGACCCAGGGGAGTGGCTGCTTCCAGAGCTCTGGACCCACAGATGGAGAGGGGATCAAGTGACTGATCAGAGGGGGATTGCAGGAATCTCTTTGCTGGTGCTGAGGCAGGATTCTCTTGCTTTGCCCCTGCTTGGATCTGGATTGCAGCTCTGGGTGGCGGTCCTGGGGCAAGGGTGAGAGCTGGCATGGTGGAGTTTATGGTGGCAGTAAAGAGAGAATCCTCCTCACAGTTTCAAGGCAGAAAAGAGTGCTTGGGGTCACTCATAGACCAGAGCTCAGGCCAGGAAAGGAGTAAATACCTCAACCTTGATGATACCACTTTGGAAGAACTGAAAATTTACAGATTCCTAGAAATACCTCTGAAAACAGCTGCACAAAATCCCCAAAGCTTGGGACAGTACATTCTTCACACTCGAAGCAGACCCCTACCTTAATAAAGAGTTTGAAACTCAAGTAATTGGTTGGGGACATGAGCAAGCAGTCAAAAAAATGTCAGATCGTAGAGTCTTACTTGGTCACAAAGAAGATCAAAACATACAACCAGAAGAAGACAACAAAGTCAAAGCTCAGACATCCAAAGCTTCCAAACAAAATAAGAATCAGAACCAGGCCATGGAAGAGCTCAGAAAGGATTTTCAGAAACAAGTAAGAGGAAAACAGGGAAAACTTGAAAGAAAAATGAGAGTGATGCAAAAAAAATAATGAAAAACAACTCTACAGCTTACTAAAGGAGACCCAAGAAAATACTGGAAAAAACAACATTTCAAAAAATAAGCTAACCCAAATGGCAAAAGAGGTCCAAAAAACTAATGAGGAGAAGAATGCCTTCAAACGCAGAAATGACCAAATGAAAAAGGAAGTCCAAAAGCTCACTGAAGAAAACACTTCCTCAAAAATTAGAACGGAGCAATTGGAAGCTAGTCACTTTATGAGAAATGAAGACACTATAAAACAAATCCAAAAGAATGAAAAATTAGAAAATAATGTGAAATATCTCATTGGAAAAACAACTGACCTGGAAAATAGATCCAGGAGAGAGAATTTAAAAATTATTGGACTATCTGAAAACCATGATCAAAAGAAGAGCCTAGACATCATCTTTCAAGAAATTATCAAGGAAAACTGCCTTGATATTACAGAACTAGAGGGTAAAATAGAAATGGAAAGAATCTACCAATCACCTCCTGAAAGAGATCCCCAAAGGAAAATCTCCTAGAAGTATTGTAGCCAAATTCTAGAGTTCCCAGGTGAAGGAGAAAATATTGTAAGCAGCCAGAAGGAAACAATTCAAGTGTTGTGGAAACACAATCAAGATAACACAAGATTTAGCAGTTTCTACATTAAGAGACTGGAGGGCATGGAATATGATGTTCCAGAGGGCAAAGGAGATAGGAATACAACCAAGAATCACCTACCCAGCAGAACTGAGTATAATCCTTCAGGGGAAAAAATGGACATTCAGTGAATGTCTTCTTAGAAAGGAGCCAGTGTCACTGAGGGTAAATAACTGACCCCTGGTTCCCCAGGTAGTCTGTGTCAGAGGTACAACTTGAACTCAGGTCTTCTTGTCTTTAAAACCAATTGTCTATTCACTGTGCTAGGCTCTTTTTTTTTTGCCTTGCACATAAAAAGATAACAATTGGTGTTTTTTTTTAAAATGCAATTGTATGTAAAAAAATGAACTAAGAATACCCTTTCCAACCTGACTCTGACCTGCCTTTCTTCCCTTTTATACATTTCTCCCTTTCATGGACTCTACAAGCCAGACAAATTTTCTTCTTTGTTTGTCTGAGTTTGAGTTTTGTGTGTGTTTGTTTTTTTTTGCTTTTCATGACATATTACACCCAATCTGTGCTTATGCTTTTGCACTGGCTAATCCCTATATCTGTATTACACTCTTCACCCACCTTTATCTCCCTACACTAATTAAAAATTCACCTCAAGAGCCAACTTCTATAAGAAGCTCTCCTTAATTTCTTTAAGTGTTAGTCCCTTTGCAGTCCCTCCCACACATAATTAACATATTTATTTCATATAATATCCTTCATATATTTATCTGTAAATACTTATTTGTACACACTGCATTTATGTACATATACACACTATCTCTCTGGTAGCCTATCAGTTCCTTAAGGACAAGAATTGTTTGAATTTTTTTTTATCCCCAATCCCTAGGGCAGTGCCTGGTATATAGCAAGCATGTAGTAGATGATTAACGATTGATATAAGGGCAATCAGTGAAGAAATGGAGAAAATAAAAGGTATGTATTAAGTATATTATTGCATTTGTAATGAGTTTGTTAAATGTTTCTCAATTATATTTTAACCTGGTTTGTAGCATTTGGGAGTGTTGCATGACACTTTCAGTGTATTTGGCACCTCTGTTCTAGGGATGATTCTATTCCCCAGGATTAGGGGTTCAGTGTCCTGGGCTATCTCCACTGAAGTCTAAAGGGAGGTGCAGGCTTAAAAAGTGACCCCTACTGCCTTTCCATAAAGGGGCAGTTCTACTTCAGCTAGGCCAGCTCAGGTAGAACAGATCTAAGAAATATAGAGCTAATCACAATTCATCCAGTAGAGAAATTTTAGAAAGTTGACTGAGGCTCAGGGACATTAAATATCTTTCCCAGGGTCATAGAGCTGGTACGCATCAGAAAGGCTTTGAATATAGGTCTTTTGCATGGACACTTATAGGCCCTCTATGAATAGCTAATAAACTGACTTGAAATCCAGCAGTTAATAATGTATCTTGTGCCTTCCCCATTAGAAGAAGCCTGAGATTTATCAAAGAAAAGTTACTGAGATTTGAGAAATTGGTGTGACAGCATCTTGGCAAAGTGGAGAGAGCACCTTTATAGAAACAGGGTATTTCCCTCCCCTCAGCTGATCCCTCCATAGCACTTATAGAGAAAGGAATGTTTAGAGGCATGAAGAGAGCAAGAGACTGAGGAATCAAATACCTCACCTGGTGTAGAGGGCCGGCTTTGGGGAGTTGGAAGGCTTAGACCAGTCCGGGTCTTACCTGCAGCTTGTACTAAGCCTGACAGCTGTGAAACTCAGGATGTCGGCTCACCACCCCCCTGTTCTGTCTCTTGAAAATAGGATGCAAGAAGGGAGGAAACGGATGGGGTACAGGACAGGACGCAGGAAAGAATGTAACAGACAAGGTACAAGGAAGTAAGGAAATCACTTAATTAGGTTTGTACTTTTCATGAATAATAATGTTACTATTGCTTGATCCAGTACTATATAAGCCTGAGCCCTCAGATCAATAAACAGAGTTTGTTCTTCACTGCTCTCACCTGGCCCGTGTTTCTTTCTCTCTTCACACTCTGCTGGCATCAGACCACAGCCGGGACGCAGGCGCTCCCAGCATTTGGCGCCTAGACAGGGACCTGAAAGGAAAGCTTCCCCCGGCAGAGTGGCCCTGGACAAGGTGGGCTGTTTGGCCAACAGCCCTAGGAGAGGAGCTCCGGTCGTCAAGAGAAGACGCTAACAAGGTAGGGCGATAATTTTCCTATACAGTTTTTTATTTTCACCAGGTTAAACGGGTATTAAAAAGAAACCAGACTGCCGCTTATCGGGGTCTCTTAAAGTGAACGTCAGAACGAGACTGCAGGTTATCGGGGTCTCAGATTTAAAGTGAAAGCAAACTGCACAGGTGGGAAAGCAAACCGCACAGGTGGACAAACAAGACTACGGCCTTTGAGCGTCTTCAAAAGCGAAAGTAAACTTCATAATGAGACTGCCGCTTTTCGGCTTCTCTGATTTAAAGGGAAAGTAAGCTGCACTGGCTAAGTAGTGTCCTATAAGATAGTTAGCTAATATGGGGCAGAGCTCGTGGGCAGAACAGAGAGACAGACAATATTATTTGAAAGTGTTTAAATACAAGGGACACAACTAGAATTTTAGCATGCAAATAAGAACATTGTCTTTCTTTAAATTGTCAACTGCATCTTTGCCATTTCTATTGAGAACAAACCAAGTGCCATTCTGCTACTGAAATCTCTGCATAAGATACCTGTACTGTCCAACCATTGCATTGCCAAGACTGTACTAATACCAACTTTGATTACACTAGGAAATGCCAGTGCTCAGTCTTAGTGGTGTTGTAATTTTCACATATTTGGTATTTTGTTGATTATTGTTTAAAATAATAGTACTATATGAGAACTTAATGATTATATCTTGGAATTATTTTGTATAGAAAATATACTTAGAAAAGTGGTTACCATGCTGCTGTCCTGTTCTTG